GATTGTCTGTGTAACTTCATATATAAGAAACGAGGTATCTTCAATTTATAGAGCAGAAAGAAAGCAATAATAGTCTGTAAGACTGATAGAGCCTCAGAGCTAAAGCATTTTATGTCAAATGGGCTAGCAGGGACATAAAAGGTAGACAGTCCCATTCACATACTTTTTAGTGTCTGTTTAACTTTCTTTTCAGTGTCTGTTTAACTTTCTTTTCTGTAGCCCACTCTTTCTTACAAAGTAAAAAATATTCTGCTGGACAGCCGGAAAGGAAAATGAGAAGTGTTGTTTAACACTTGTGGCTGCAGCCTGAGCAGTAACTCTGCAAGTTTCTTGGCACATAAAAATACTCACCTCCAAGGTGCCAGGTTGGATATTTTCTAAACTGATCTCAGCTGTCCCTCCTGACATTACATGCATGGCTCCTTATTGTGATGGGATATATGTTGTTCAGTAAAGGGAATTATCATCTAGGAGCTAAACAGAAATCAGGAGTATATCTCTCTAGCTCAGATATAGTAGTAATCAGTGCTTTCAGCTTTTCTGAGGTTGCCTTTGATTTTACTGATTTTAGGACATTGGGCAACAATTTTTTATTTTTCTAGATAATGTTTTCTGAAAAATTCTTGTTACATGTTTTTCTCTATTTCATCTCAGTTCTGGGATCAAGGTACATGTGACAAAGCAAGCTACTTGATAATTTACCCTGTGGAAGGTCCAAATTCCTCAGAAAATGGTGAAATAAGAATTCACAGGGTGTTAAATAAAAAAACTACGACACCTCTCCAGTGACTGTTTGCACTTGCAACTTGATAATTATTTCCTAGCTTGTTCTTTCCCTTATTATTTACTTGCCATAGGCAGCATTCTCACAGATTCAAAATGCAATGTATCTGTTCTGTCTCAAAAATCTATTCTGAAGTGTGCAACTGAGGCACAAAAGGGAAGCATATACAATTTTTATTACCTTGTAGTTAAATAATTAACAGTATTTTTATTCTCTGTTAAAGCCTAATTTGAAAAGAGAGCAAACTGGAAAATAACACTGATTTTTATCAAGCTGGAGCTAACCTTCAATCTAGCCCTCTGTTCCTAGCAGTACCAATTACCAGAAATTTCAGAGGATGCTTTTTCACAAGCCCATTTCCAAAAACAGAGGCACTCTCGAGCCAGCTAAAAAATCATATCATTTCTAATATTAATCATATTAGTTAAATTTATAATAAAATTATAATTGTCTGTATTTTATATTGTTTATTGTGATAAAATCAGTCTGTACAGGGGAACATCTTACTGTTACATGCAAGCCAGGAATTCAGTGATTACCCTAGATTTGTTTTTCTAGATATTTCAAGGAAAGCTGGCAAAATAATCTGTACATTTAGATGCATCAAGCACTGCAGTGGGGATTTTTCTGTTCAAAGCTATGAAAAGAAAAAAAATAGACCACATATATGTACAAACTTCTAATATAAAACCTGCTCCAGAAAAATGTTTTATGGTAAAGGAGCATCAGAGCAAAAATTATGACAACTGCCTTTCCTAGAATGTGGAAGCAAAGAGAGTTGCTTCATGTAGGTTTGAATGACTTAAATAAATATGAAAGTACTGGTTATCTGAAGACAAGACAAGGATATGTGTATAGGTGTGTGTCGAGATAAGTCTGTGTCAAGTGAGAAGCGCAAAAGAATTGTTCAGCATTGCAGAATAACTGAATAAAGTCTCTGACACTGTAGTACCTTCTGGAAATTCCAATAGTATAATTTGTGTCCTGCATTTGGTTGAAGGAGGAAGAAATATTTTGAAGTCAGTTTAATGCATGTGCCAGGTGCTTGGATTAGCAGCTCTGAAGGATGAAGTCCAAAGCACAGAGCAGCATTGCTGTCCTATATATTCTGTCTCATTCTGAAGGTTATGCTTTCTTTAGAGACAAGAGTGTAATTTAATCTCCATGTTCATTCAGCTCCTGGCTCAAAGCCCACAGAATCGGAGAGGGAACGTTTCAGCAATTGCAGTGGGTTGTGGTGTCATCCTTCTGTCACTTGACCTGGTCGTGCGAGCCATTTCTCTGGTGAATAATTCTGAGGGAGATGTTCTAGGACTGCACAATTTGACTTCTTTTTCAAGACCAGGACAGCAAAGAAGTGCCGTGTCTAGACATGGATATGTATCCACTAGAAAGACCCCCAAGACATTTCTCACTCAGGACAATAAACCTACCTTTGTCTTGCTTTCTCTCAAGCCTTGTCTGAAATGTTTCCTTTTTTTCTTTCTCAGAGAATGCTGCCCTTTCAACATGTTTGCTTTCTTAATGCAGGAGACAATTCTGTATTTTTGAAAAAATTTGGATTGCCTAATGCCACTTGTCAGGTCAGTCAGAGCACTGTGTACAGGACTGTCTCCAAACAAAGCTAAGTGTTCTTAAGAAAAATCAAATCTTAATATCTCTAATCAGACACAGAGGAATAAAATTGTCCTGGTTTTATTTTAGATTTTGCCGGTATTTCAGCAGGATTATTTAACTAATTTACTTTTCTAATTGAAATGAAGTGAAAAATGCAGCACATGGACAAGACTAGAAGTATCTCTGCCAAGTGTTAAATCAGGGGAAAAGAAAACCAACCCATTGAAGAATGCAGTGATTTACAAAAGAAAAATTATAATGCATAGGTTTTTTCTTGGTCCTAAGCGCCACCAAGTTCTTTACTGATTAGAATAATTAATGGTTGTAATATTTTCCTGAGGACAAAAGGAGGAAACCACACTGTGGCTGTGACACGCATAATCGCTTTCCTACATTTACTTACTTTCTGCAGTAATACACATAAGGCTCAGCTTAAGAATTTCACAATATACTTAAATTTCTGATCAAGCTGATTTGAATTAAGTCCACCATGCTAACCTTTTTCAATAGAAATTTACAACATACTATAAAACTGTTGTTTAAACAATCCTTCCCATAATTACCACCAATAAATGATACCTTTTATTGCCATTAGAACACTCTTAGTTACCGGTTTCCAGAGATTGCTGCAGTAACCTGTACATAACTTTGTGCTATGTTGTTAATACTTTTATGGTTTTCTTTTTAGAATTCTGAAACTGGAAAGGTTTAAGAAAACATGCAAAATGCTGAGGATACACGTAAGTGAAATATTTAATGTCCATCATTCATAAAAGTTACATTGTTTACATAGGGTTCATTAGTATATAATAAAAATGTCATCTTAATGAAAGATTTTCTGGCAAGTCTTTTATATGTTAATTTGTTTAACATATGCTTTGGCTGTACAGCTAAATAGGAATATATTTTAAAAAATCCTTCTGCAAATAGTTGCTTAACAGTTACAAAACCTCATTACTAAGAGTTGGTTATTGTTACACTTGCTTGTTTTCTTGTAATAATCATCTGTGATTTGGACTGGGAATCTTAGGATCAACTTTATGTAGCAAACTTGCTCATTGCATAGTGACTATGTAAACAGCTCAGGGACCCACAAATTATATCCTTGTACTCTAAAGTCACTGTTAAAGTACACACTGTACTGCTCCTGTTTTCTTATATTGATGAAGAGTTTGGGGATTGTTTTATTCTTGATGCTGATGGGAATTTCTTTTTAAAACAAGTCCATTTTATACAAGTCAAAAAATTAACACCAAAGGAAATAATTTTACACTGTGCAATAGTATTGCTACCTCATTCTTTTTGATTTTAGATATACATATATATAACATATTGGAACTGCGCTGTACTGCTTCCTCTCAAAAGTAAAGTTTAAATTAGTTGAAACAATTAGCTATGTGTTTACATAAAGTTAACTATGTTTGCATCAAATAAAATGTTTATTAATGAAAGGTATTATACAAGAAACATCAAAGAGAAATTCGTCATACAGAAATGTACACTATATGTGACAGATGGAAAAGTGCATGCAGAGTTGTCTCATTTTAAAAAAAATAATTGGGAAATAATAGTACTAAAGTTACTGGGTTCTGACTCCTATTATCTCAGATGAGTGAAAAGTTCTCCTTGAATTTACAAAAATCCATTTAACAGATATGACTAGTACACATTAGCAAGCAAGTGGAATGAATGCACTCAGATTTTATTTTACAAGTATTTGTGCTTGACAAATGTGATTTTTTTTTAAAAAAAGAAAATATTTATTTGAATATGGGCTGGGTAGATTGCTGCCAGGTTGCTCTGGTTTTATACATAGGTTCTCTAAATTTGTTTGATACCACACAATTTGTTGAAGCCTTCAGTTCTGTTAACTAGACACCATAAAATAACATATGTTTTGTTAACATTCAGGAAATTACATCAAGTCTCTTATTTTTATTTTTTGGCTCAATGGATTTTTAAATGTATGATTATCATAACCTAATATTGTCTTTGTCTTCACTGCAGTGGATTTCCGATCAAACTTTTCCCCTTCTTTTAATACTTTAGGGAATTTTCAAACGTCGGGATGTTTGGCTGTAATGCCCCATGATTTGTTCTCCCTGAAAGAAATCATAGTGACAATTTATTAAACTACAGAGCAACCTGGCTTTTCAGGGTCTGCAATTCTATTTTGTGCTCAATATACCTAGCATTAAATCTTGATTCATTTCATCATACTATTTAGGTTATACTTGTCATGCAATTACTTTAGCTCCTAGTTTTCTGGCTCTTGTAGAAGAGGGCTAAGACAGGGTCTCAGTATCAAATCAGTGGGGCATTACTTTGCATGTTCAAAAGATGAGTTAAAAGGCTAAATCTAAATTGCACCAGCAGTAGCATACACATTGAATAGGAAGAAATTGAAAACCTAAGAAGGAACTGTACTTTAAAATATTTAAAAGGCCGTGTTTCTGTGTTTAATACCAATTGTTCATAGGTACCATAAAAGCAAAGAGACACATGGGTACATGTAGACCTTAAATTTTAAAAAAGAAACAAAAATTACCCCCGCAAAAAAAAAACCCAAAAAAACTGATGGGAAATAAAACTCCTTAGATTCAAAATGGTTTATTCACACAAATTTAATAAGATATATCACAATTGTTTGGTCCATAAATATTTAGGGGAATAGTTTCTATACAATGCATTTATCAATAAACAAAGAAACATGGACAATTTTGCTAGACCACTTACTGTACTATAAACACGAAGCTCAATATATAAGATTATTGGTTTTATCAACTATATCTGAAAGAGTGCACAACTGCTTTCTATGACATGTTTGTCCCCTCTAACAGGATACACCATAAAAAGAGTTTCAGAAATAAGAGGTAAAACAGTACAAAACTATTGAGGTGTCAAAAGGGCTTAAAACAGTTAATTTAACAAACAACACATATATCCTGATTTTTCACAAACTTACTCCCAAGGTATATCATAAGGCACATAGTAGAACTGAGTTTTAATTAGTCTACTTAATAAAGTAGATCTCTAGTACCATATATTGTTCTGTCAAAGAACAAAATTTATAAGTATCAATATTTTTACCTGTAAAAGTGTATTAATAAAGATCTCAGCCTTACCAAGGTCTTTTGGTCTGGTTAGTGGTAAATGCCCATAAGGTAATAGAAATAGGAAAAGTCAAGATTCAATATCCATAGAAGATGATAACCATACTTGCTAAATATATAATGGCAAACACACCTTTCTTCTATTACAGTGTTAACATCTCTTCCATCATCTTTTTTAAAAATAAGCTACTTTTCTGTGCTAATTTTCTAAAAACCCTGAGCAAAAATTACAATAATGCACTTTAATGTGGGCAGTGAACTGTCAATATGTAACCACACATTTATACAGCCAAAAAGGACACCTTTAAAATATATTAAATAGCCACTTTGACCACCAAAAAGAGATTTGATGGTGTCTAAAAAGTGGGGTATATGTGCAAAGTTATTCTTAACAATCCACTAAAAGCAAGACATAGATCTTGACTGGTTTTTGTCCGTTTTTGTTTCTGAGACTCTCCACAATCTAATTGGTGTTCAACTACAATAAAAGGATACAAATGAACATTCACCACTGCCCAGACCATTCAGACTTTTAGCTTAAATAAAACTAAAAAAAAAAAGAAAGATCACTATTGTAAACTAAGAAATGTATTTAGATCAGCATCCACAAGGCTTCTGAGTTTATCGGCTTTGAAATTACTCACTGCCAATTCCTGGTTTTCTATGATTTTTGCTAACATTTTTTTGTTTTATACAAAGTTTAACTTTAAAAAGTTAAAGTATATGCTGGAGATATTAATGAACTAAAGATTTTAAGTTCCTGTGTTAAACAAAGCGTCTGATACAATCTCAGGAAACATCTAAAGAAAATTCAATAAAGTAATGAATAAATTGTACTGAAAAGCTTTTCCTTAAACATCTTAATAAATTATATTTTGCTTATTTCCATTTTCCCTGAAAAAAAAAAAAAAGTAGGATTTATCAGAAGTTCATTTGAATAGTACACATGCATACACCTTCTTGAAAATTAATTTTGTGCTCAATAAAGTAACTGGGCAACCTTTTGTTTGCTTTGAAGGTTTGAAGACTACATCGAAGCCATGTAGTCAACTGCAATTTTTACCTTTTCTAAATCCAAAAATTCAGAGCTGCTTAACAGACAAAAATTAAAACCCCTCCCTAGGCAGCATTTCAGAGGTAGGACTCTCCACTTGCATTGTTACTCTGCTATTGTTACTTTAATGACATCCTTATGGGAATGAGCTCACTCTGGAAGGTGTTCTCTAGATCTTGCCTCCTTAATGCGGGGCACAAATCTGGAGACCAACGGCCTGGTCCTGCCATCCTCACCCACACGTGCTCTCATCACTGGGTCTCTCTCCAAGTCCTCCATCCAGGCATGGCTCTCAGTGGTGGCCAAGGACGTCCCAGCTGGGTGCAGAACTGGCAGAGGAGTGTTTAGCTGTCCCAGTGAGACTCCCCAGTGCTCAGGGAGGAGCAGGCTTGCAACTACTGCATTAGGAAAGAGCACTGGTACTTCCAGTCTGACTGTTTCGTGATGAGTTTAATTCATTTTGTATTTATTTTTCCACATTTAAAAAATAAATCGTACAAAACTTTTGGATGCGTTATGAAAATAAAATTAAATTTGGGGTTCTTAAATGCTTTAAGTGAACATACAATCTCGAAGCAGCATTCTTTTGGCTATAATTAAAATGGTTTTTAGCTAGTTATCAGGGAGGAATTGAGGGGTTTTTTGAGGGGGTAACAATCAATTTTTTTCAAGGTTCTGGAAATAAGTAACATACAATTTTAAGAGGCACTTATTAGAATGATTCATCACCTTCTCTTCAGTTATTTGATAAATTTAAAGAATTTGAGTACAATTTACCAACAATAAATGTTCATTCATTATAGCAACATATTACTTCAAACTCATTTGCCAGGTGGCTGCAGATGCTACACATCAAGCTGTTTATTTTCCCAAATATTTTGTGGGTTTGTTTGTTTGTTTGTTTTTAAAAGGCTTTAAAATAATAATAATAATTATAATAATTATAATAATAATAATAATAATAATGAAGAGTAAGAATTTTAAAAAAAAAAAAAAAAAAAGGAACTGTTAGAAAAGGTTCGTTAAGGTAGTTTGTGAGGGGCTCCCGGATTCGTGGCTGTCCAAGTTAGAGGTCACTGATGTCACTACAGTGATAGTGGGATTGGTCAGGTCTGTTAAAGTGGTCGCAGTGCCGGGTGGAGTGAGTGCGCCGCTGTCTGCTGAGGGCGGTGCCGGGAGCGAGGTGCCGTCAGCTTTATCGACACCCCCATTCTCCTGCCGCAAAAGGTTCCTTCTGAATTTGGCTCTTGCGTTTTGAAACCAAACCTGCAAACCAATCCCAACGGATTTCTTTACCGATGCTTGTTTTGCTTTGCTTATTTTTGTCTTTGTTCTTGCTTTTTAAATTCATTTGTGATGTTTGATTTTGTGTGGCACATCACCTAAGTCATTCTCTAGCTTTTCTTGCTACTGGTGGTACTGACTCTCTGTGTACAGGCTCAGTGCTGCAGGTGCTTACAGCCCTCAGAGAGCAGCCTCGAGAAAAATCCGCTCGCTCGCTTACCCAGAGAAAGCGACTCTCTTGATGGCCACATAGTGTTTCTTGGGTTGGGCGGCTTTGGGGTCAACACACATAAAGATTGAGGCAAAGGGTGAGCGAGCAGATTTTTGCCAAGGCTGAAAGCTTGCCTTGATTACTTAAAAAGGCTGAAGAGGAAGGAGGAGTAATTACACCATCTCTGTCTTACAGATTGTTGATATGGGTCATCTAGTCTTTCTGTTCTGTAAGGTTCACTGACAGTGTTTGAGGTGACATGTAACACAGACAAGGAATTGCCACTAATAGATTCTCCTTCTACCTCACTCACTGCCCTTCTTTGGCACTCTGCATGTAATACACACCTCGTTTTACCTTCACCGAGCTATCACAGACCATATAGGGATTTTTAACTTAATTTTCTAGGCTGTCCTTCACAAGGAACTGCCTTTTGACTATGCAGGCCCTTAAGGAAAACAGTTCTCTAACAAGCATTGAGAGTGAGAGCCAGCTGGTCCTGGAGGATCATATTGGTCAAAGCTTGCTTCAAACACATCAGGGATCTGCTTACTGAGGGGCCACATTAACTCCTTCAGGGGAGCCCAAAGGCTTCACCCATAAAATCGGTAGATTTGCCACCTCTATCCTTAGTGCAGTCACCACAGAGAGTCCACCAGCCCCAGGATATCTACTGGGTGGGTAGACTCTGAAGACATTTTCCTCATGGTGAGGATGCAGCTAATCATAAAACAGTTTGGTGTTTGGCTGCCTTGGGGCAGTAAGGCACACATTTGGCACTTCTGCCACATACCCCTCCGCTCACCCACTAGGGACACACCCAGCAAAAGTATTTCTATGTATATTGGTATAGCTACACATAAGGGAAAGACTGACGACTAGCAGGGGAAAATTCTGTCAAGCCTGTGATGTGACTTCTTACCTGCAGAACTCTCTTGGTTAGGCCTGTTTTCTGGGCAAGCTGCTTGAGGTCCTTGGCATCTGGATTGTGGTTGATAGCAAAGTAGGACTTCATGGTACGAAGCTGGTGGTGTTTAAAGGAGGTACGCATGCGCTTTGTTTTCTGGGATGGGGGATAAGGCTGCTGGTCTCTGTCCAGGTGATCTGCCTCATTCTCATTACAACCTGCTGAATAAACAAAGTGGAGCAGTTAGTAGCTATACAGC